GATAACGAAACTTAAAAAGAAGGAAAAAATGATATGATTCTCTCTAGACTTTTCATACATTTAACATTGCCACCTTTTTTTCTTTCAAAAACTATGAAAAATAACAAGGATTTTAAAAGATTTAAAAAAATGGCTTTTGAAATATCTGCAATAAAATTATGAAAAGATGAGTACATTTGAAGGTGTTAGCGGGCAAGTTTTGTATTGGCACTACATGGATAAAACTAGAGGATTTCGAATATCTGACAAAATGTAAAAAAAAAAAGAGTAGCGAACATCCTTTAATAAATTGTGACTTATTCAAAGGTGAGTGTATTGATGGCAGTTAAACATCACCGTGTTTCTTTCTACACCAATAGAGAAAGATAATCGAGTGCAAATTAAACATACCATTCACAAACAATATACATACCGTCCGAAGAAATTTTAAAAAGTCGGTCATAAAAGAGTTATTGAACGTTTGTTCAGGACAAAGGGAAAAACTGCAACCGTTGATCTAATCAGCAATAGTAATTACATATGGGTATTAACTTTGAGCACGTGTTGGAAAATAAATATAATAATTAAAGTAGAAAGAAGAGAATCGTATTTTTTTCCTATTTCCAATGCATATCAAAATTAACATGACGATGATGATTGTCCTGGCATTACATTTATTGATTTTTAGTCTGTTTGAGTTCGGCTATATATTCATTAATTTTAGACATTACATTTATATAATTCTCTTAACGACATATATCAATTTTTTAATGATTGATTGGTATTCGGTGGATGTCAGCGCAAAATGATGGCAGTGTACCGGGGTATTCTGGACATTGTGTAATAAACATTTTGTAAACGGCTGTAATATCATATCATAAATCTATGAAAGTTGCTTAAGGAAAAAATCTATAGAAACATATTCATATGTCATTACTACAGAAATACATGCGATAAATAAGAGTAGGAACAAATCCTATATGTTCCAAGGAGCTATATCCTTTGAAACACATATTGATTGCAATATTTTCACAGCAATTGAATGTAGATAAACATATCAACATAATCTTTTGAAGTAACGAGTGTCATTGAGATACAAAAAAAGAAAAAAAAAAACAACCCCAAAGCTTGGGGATAACAAAATAAAATTTGAAAAGGGGACAATTCAGAAGTTGAAAGAGGCATAATTATTGATTAAGTAAAAAAGAAGAAATAGTTCAGGCTTTATTGATATTCGCATGTCAAAATTCATAATTATGTAAGTAAATCCAAGAAATGGCAAATAATTGTGGTCTTACACAGCTAGATATATTTTCTTACTCCTATATACATCAAAACTTGGTCAACGAGGGGAGTGGGTAAAATTACGACTTAATATAAAAATCAATTTTATAGGTTATAGACATGCTTCAACATACGTGCACATGTACATGTCTCATTTGTATGTACATAACGCATTTCCTTAGTAAGGAAACAAAAAGATTATTAGGTCAACATTAATGTCGTGTAAAACAAGTCCATGCGGAGAAGAAAAATAAAATACCAGCAAACTTTGACATAAGGTAAACTCGTAATCTTTCTATGTGAGTCACTAAACAGAATTCATGATTAAAAATTTCTTTTTTATAATTCTGTATTGCTGATTTTTTTTTTCTGTTTACAGTTTCCCTTTTTCTCCTTTAGTTTTTGCCAAAAACACAAAAAAATATTAAAGAAAAATCGTTTTTTAAGGGCAATAACACCTATAAAGGGTCTACTAACTATTTCGACAAAATTCGACTTATTTGTAAATCTTGTCCTACTGATCATTTTTGTTATTTAAAGTGTCTATCGTATAGTTTTCAAGATAATAAGCAAAAAACGCAAAAAATGGTAAACAACGTCATTAAAGAGCAAGAGTTCCAATAAGGAGTTGACTGACGATTTCAGCCATGTTGACTTCCATGTGGATTTTGTCTTGCTGACCATTTTTTTCTTTTTAAAATGTCTCCCTATCTATTATAGTATTCAAGATAATAGACAAACATATTTTTTGCATGCTTCAGTGTGATTGTCCGGGCTAAACTATGACAGTAAATGATTTATTTCTTTGCCAGATTTATTCTATTGATAATACTCCATCGTTTTTTCTTCAATTCAGTTTCCATACAAACCGGTGCTAGGCGCCGTCTTAAACTTGTAGTGAGGTGAAAGTTTTTATTTCTCTTTGTTGAAGGCATCACTGTGACTTTCAGATGAAGAACAGCAATTACAGCGCTGTTTCTTTTTTTTTTTTTATTTTTGCTGCGCATGTACTGATTTTGTGTTAGGGATGGATACCCCATATCCTTTCATGAAAGTTTTGATATAAAATCACAGTAGGTAGATCACCACATTCTGAACAATTTTGCCCCGTCAGATTATCTCTATCAATCGCAGTTTTCAAGATAATAGCTATAATAGACAAAACTTGCATTTTACCCCTATGTACTAGGCCATGTATTGGTTGGCAGGCGAGGTCATCGTACACATTTTTTAAACTAGATATCCAAATGATGATTGTGGCCAGGTTGGTTAAATTTTGCCTGGTAGTTTCAGAAGAGCTAAAAAGCGACTGAAAGGGTTATACATGAAATACAGATATTCGGTGACTATCTAATACATGTATCTCGCGAAAAGAATCTATTTCTAACATATTAGTTTCTACCCTGCTTGTCAGTTATACCTGATAGAGAAAAACAGATAATACGAAAAGACAATACTTCCGTTTCCTCTTGTGGAATCATTAGTTTTAAGTGTTTGTTTAACTCACACTTCTTTATCAATTTAACTTTGCTTACCCATATCGCTATATATCTTATTGCATGTAACTTTGCTCCTTCCTGTTATGTCAAGTTTTATCACACTTTATAAGTCCTTTTTAACATAATTATATATGAAATAAGGAGATGTGGTATGATTGCCAAACGAGACAGCTATACAACAGATTCTAAATGTAGCTGATTTAAGCAACTGCAGGTCACCGCACGGTCTTTAACAATGAGCAAAACCTATCTTGTTTAGTCAGCTATAAATGGTCCCGACATGATTGATTGCTTGATTGTAGGTATTTAACGCCATTTTCGGTACTCTTGGGTATATCGTGGCGGCCATTTTCTATTTGTGAAGGAAGGCGGAGAGAACCACCGACCTTCGACAGGAAAAACTAGCAATCAATAATTAAGATTTGATTCGAACGTACCTACTACGAGCTGGGTTCGAACTCGCAACCTCAGTGTTAACGTGCTAGTGTTAACCGTAGATGAACTACTTGGACCATTTGGCAACCGAGATTCCGTCCCGACTTCACAACATGTAAAACAGTTCAAACGAAAAAAATGGCATTGCATGGTTTATCCTTTTATACTTGTTTTCGTAAAGCACCGAAGAGTACTTTATACATCCCTTACAGACAAACGGACGCCCAACTTTACGGGTTTTACTGCTAGACGGGGGCAATGCAAGGCATTAATATATCTATACCTAAAAGTCAACCTCTGGTGTTTTTATGAATTATGAAAGTGATGAAATATCAAAGATTTTTTTACAAAAATGTTATTTTGTGTTTTGAAATTTCATACACTTTTATTTCAAATCACATACATGTATTTCTCATGTTTTTTAAAACTTAGAATCAAAGTTTACAAAATTTCAATATCCAATGTATTTATCCTTTTATTCGCAATATGAAAAACCCTGGATTAGTAAAAAAAAACTTAAATAAGAAGTTAAAGCGTATTGAAACCAAGGTTGAGTAGTATCCCAAACCTTGTCAAAAACTTGCAAAATATGAACCACAATTAATTATTTTCCTATTATATTGACACTAAAAAGTTGTTGCTTTCTCTTATACACCGGCAGTTTGTACATACATCATAGAGTTAATTCCTATAAGTTTAAGAGTCAAGTTCTTGCTTGGGAAACGAATTTCTTGGAAACACGTTAAAATTATATTTTCTTCATTATTGGCATGCACGGTTTACATGTGTCATTCTATCATTTGACATTAACTGATCTGTAAAGCAAACGATATTTAGAGATTTTGCTAATTGTTTAAAGCACTTGTATCTTGAATCTATAAGTAATGAAATATGTATAATTGCCAATAAGACAACTATCCACCAGCAAATCAATGATGTTGGTGTCAGTTTTCTATGTTTATATTGAAAATGGTAACACCAAGGGGGACTGTGGTATAGAAATATGGTCAATTTGTTTTCTTCTGACCGGTAGTCAAACTCTTGCTAATGTAGATCGTGCGTTTGGCTGTGCGTGGTGTACAAATTTGGCAGTCATGTCCGGTCAGAATTCGGAAGTTCAATCCGATACCTCGTGTAGAGAGTGACAAGGCTAACTTTCTAACCCTGTCAATATATCCTCACATTCCGATGGTTTCTAAATTTTTCCGCCCTCCACTTCAGTCCACCCCTGTAACATGACCTATATCTAACTTGTATCAGTTCTCGTTCTGAACATGCTTGAAATATTTTCCACTGGACAGGATAGTTCGACCCCGTACATGTCTGCATAAGCGTAAGGGATATATAATACATAAACAAATAGAACTCAACCCGCCAAATTCTGTATGTGCCTGTCCCAAGTCAGGAGCCTGTAATTCAGTGGTTGTCGTTTGTTGCTGTATATCATATTTGTTTTTCGTTATAAATAAGGCCGTTATATTTCTCGTTTGAATAGTTTTACATTTGTCATTTCGGGACCTTTTACAGATGACTATGCGGTATGTTGAAGGCCATACGGTGACCTATAGTTGTTAATGGCTGTGTCATTTGGCCTCTTGTGGAGAGTTGTCTCATTAGCAATCATACCACATCTTCTTATTTTTATATCAACCCTTACGTTTGCCCTGCTTTCCTTTGTAAAAACTACGACTTACAAAAACAATTTATTTTACTTCGTTTGTTTTATTTTACCAAGCAAAAAAAGTGGTTATTTTGTCGTTTCCTCGAGGTTTGCGGAAATCAGATTAGTATATAAGTATTATTTTTCTCACATGCATTGTATGTATTAACCGAAGTCATGATGGACCGTGTTGGACTGATTTTTATAATTTTGGTGTTTACGTCTGGTTCTTGTCAGTGTTTTCTCTTTGGGAAAGATAAAGTTGACTGTCTTATGTCGCAATGGAGCCAATGGAGCGATGTCTACGGATTTGGAGCACGGTCTAAAGAAAGGGCAATTCTCAGGTATCCTGACAATGGTGGCAAGCCATGTCCTAATGATATTGAAATTACTGAGTACACAAGTAAGTAAAATGTAAGGTCATTCAGGCTAAAATGAATTATACATCAATACAGTCCTGTACATTTTTAAAATACATTATATATCATGTGCAATAATGTATTGTGATAATTAATGTGCCAAATTCATTTACATTTATTTCTCTATACATTACATTGAACAAAAAAAAATTTGTGAAAGATTGAATTTAATTTGAAAGGAATTAGTGAACATAATTATGTATGTCCTTTCGATGATTATATCATTAGTGTTGTGTTCTTGGAAAAGCAGTACATTTGGCAACAATTAGATACAGAATTTATTTTTTCATTTACATTATTAACTACAATTATAATTTCATCCTGTAAGAATACTCAGGCAAAATTATGCCTTTTGAAACTACATTTAGTTGCCTTTCATATTCAGCTGTTAAACAAGCATTTTTATCAACAGTACCGCTTAAATCGACGCTAGGGGTCGTCTTGACCTTGTAGGGTATGGATGATTCGTTCATTGTTGAAGACCCTACATCAACTGTCAAGATGAAGAACAGGAATAAAAGCCCTGTTCATTGATAATTTTCTATGTTTTCTATGTAGTGTGTGCGATTTTGTCCCATGTACATTTACTCCATATCCTTTCATTTTCTATTGCTGAAATTTGAGAATTGTGTTCAAGTCAACATCTATCATTAAGTTTTCTAAAGATCGTGAAATTTTTGGAGTTCTCTCCGGGCACTCCGGCGTCCTCCGCCACAAAAATTGACCGCCATGAAATAGAACATTTGTTGAAAGTGGCATTAAACAAAAATCGATCAATCCAGAGGCGGATTTAGGGGGGAGGGGGGCTTTTGTGGGAAACATTTGGTTGATTATATAGGGAATCACTGGAGCGGGCCCCCTCTTATGGCAGTCAGTGGGCCCCTTATGAAAATTTCTGGATCCACCACTGCAATCAACCAATTAAAAGTTTATACCAACACAAAATAGCACAAGTAATGTAATTAATTGATGCATGTATACATGCATATCTACATATAATATCGTGTCATACATACATTTTTTGCGTTTCCTTTATTATCCTTTATTGTAAAACGACATATTGCTTGTTCTTTAAAACATTATTTCCGTTTATACGATAAACACAAAATGCATGGATTTGACCTAGGATGTTTGTTCTTTTATACAATGTATGTTTATATGTTTTGGAGTTTAGTGTGACGTCCATTTTCATTGAACTAGTACACATTGTTGTTTAGGGGCCAGCTAAAGCCCGCCTCCGGGTGCGGGATTTTCTCGCTGTGTTGAAGACCCATTGGTGGCTTTCGGCTCTTTTCTGCTCTTTGGTCGGGTTATTGTCTCTTTGACACATTCCCCATTTCCATTCTCAATTTTATTAAATATTTCAAAATTGTGATAAATATTAATTTCAGCACAGAAACCTACGATTCAAACAACAGCTAAACAAATCATCACCAGTTTTCTGCAGAGAAGATTGAAACCAAATCCTTCATCTCCTCGGAGAATTGTAAAGAGAGACGATCCGATTGGTCTTTTCAGAGATTTATTGATAATCATTGATTCGTCTGGTAGCATAGGAGCGAGTAGCTTTAAAATTGCAAAACAGCAAATAGGTGAACTCCTAGGTCTGATATGTCCTGTACCAGATCCCTTCAATTCGAACAGACGTAGTGGTTATAACCGAGCGGCACTTATTCAGTATTCTAGTAACGTGGTTGAGGAATTTGATTTCTATGACCAACATAGTTTAGCAGACCTCAAATCTGCAATAATGTCAATACCATATCAAGCGGGATTGACCTGTACCGGAGATGCTTTATATGAGGCAATACAAATGTTTACATCATCAAAAGGTAAGAGTTTTGTATTTGAAAAAAAGGGGAAGGGTACAGCAACCCATAAGTCGAGGACATACAGCCAGCAGCATGGCTAAAAGAAAAAAAAAATACGAACAGATAAATACACTACAGAACAAGCATTTTTATCAGTATACCGCACTTAATATTTAAGGGCATACGATACAGTTTCGATTCCACGGTGAATTGTTATTTACGAAAATTTGCATACTAGCTATTTTTCACATAATATCTTAATATTTTATATTATCATTTCTTCTTTTCCCGATATGTCACGGTTTGACGTCGCGAAAAGTGCGTTAGCAACGTCATAACCTCCTCTGTAACTGTATCGTATGCCCTTAAATCATTATTTGGCAGTTGTGTGTGTGTGTCTGTGTGTGTGGTATTTATTGACGTTGGATACATGTAAAGTGGATATTTATTTTTTTCTTTCTCATAAATTTGATTCTATGAACATTTTCTGTTTGCTTTTTCATTTTCATACAAGTGACGATAAACAATGTTGCCCATTGTCATTTCAGGCGCGCGTCAAGGAACCAAACATGAGGTTTTGATTTTAACTGATGGCAAATCCAACTGTGGAAAAAAAATTTCAACGGTATTGCCAACGTTGCATGCTAAAGCAACTGTATTTGGATTAATGATTGGTAATTTTAATATCGAAGGCAAGAAAGCACTCGCATCGTATGTCAGTAAACCATCACCCGATCACTTATTTGCCGTCGACGACTATCAAGACCTGGAAAGACTATTGAATTTCATAAAAGTGCAGTTAGATCAAAACCATCCATGTGCACACTTCGATCTATCGAAGAAATGATACAATACAAAATTTATCTTCAAAACCTGTTTTCTATATAAATCCACTATATAAAATTTACTTGTGATTTTGAATGAGTAATTATTATAATCTCTAGTTAGATTCATAGTCATTGTTGCCTGATGCAGCTCTTAGGTTTCAAACCGCGGTCGTTTTTTTTTGGAATGCTGTAAGGTCAAACAAATAAGCGTAAATGGCAAAGAAACCTCAAATGCATATAATGTTTCGAATAAATAAAGGCAACAGTAGTATACCGCTGTTCAAAATTCATAAAGTGTTTCAATAAGTAAATGCATACTGTTCATAGATCCTTTGATAGTTTCGGATTTTTCTTAAATATAAATAGGAAGGGACAACTATTTTCTAAATTTTAAAGTCAATATATATAAAAGCCATATTGAATTTAATGCATTAACAAATTTACCAATCTCTGGTATAATACACATCTTTTTTTAAATTTCAATCTCTCTGTATTTCCATCATGTTGCAAACATGTAGATCTTGTTTTTTGTACAGGCTCGGTTATACTTATTTTTTGTCCTTTTCGGTTATATCTTTATACAGATTTTAGATTTTCAATGTATTTGGCCTCGAGCATCATTGAAGAGCATCTTGTGCCGTAAAATTGGTACCGTTAATGTTAATTCGACAGATTCAGTAAAGTTGTTTTAATCAATTCATGTATAATATCTTATTTACATGTATCTATATTATGCAAATTAAATATAGAAAAAATGTTGTTCACGGCTTAAGTTAATTCATTCATGTTTTGTTGAATAATGTTGTATGGATGATAATTATTTTTCCGATTTTAACCACACATTAATGAATTTTAAAAATAATATAAATTAACAAATGTTGTTTTTAGTTTTTGGTAGTAGCAACATATTTTCAAATAAATCATCAAAATTAAATCAGAAGATAATAAACCATTCTTAGTGAAGTCGATGATGGATATAGAAATAAGAAGATGTGGTATGATTACCAATGAAACAACTCTCCACCAGAGACAAAATGACATAGAAGTTAACAATTATAGGTCACCGTACGGCCTTCAACAATAAGCAAAATCCATACTGCATAGTCAGCTATAAAAGGCCCGAAAATGACAAATGTAAAACAATTCAAACGAAAAAACGAATGGCCTAATTTATGTACAAAACAGTGAACGAAAAACAAATATGATTTACAGCAAAAAACGACATTCACTAAATTACAAGCTCCTGACTTGGACAGGCACATGCAGAATGTGACAGGGTTAAACATATTTGTGGGCACCCAACCCTCCCCTAACCTATGACAGTGATGTAACAGCACAACTTATGAACAAACTTTAAAAATCAGTTGAAAAGGGCTTAACTCATCAGATCGATACAAAGCAGAAACACAAACCGGACGTGTATGACTGTTTAATGTCCAATGGCAAACGCAATGCATATTCTTGACGGGAACATTTGAATACGAACCCTGCTTTTGATTTGACCGACACGCTGAATCGAATTTTAACATGATTATGTAAGCGTAATTTCATTCCACCGTGATCTTATTCCGGGTAACTGTTTTTCACTACAGAATATTGGATGTAAATAGTGTGAAAGCGTTGATCTTGATATCGTTGTTTTGTTTATATTAGACCAGTTTATTGTTTACATAAATTAATAGGTTAAAATTAGAATAGTTTTCAAGGAACCAGTTTGATTAACAGATATTGACATAGAAGATATGATTTTATATCGAAGTCTACCAATACGCAAATGCACAGAAAAACTTCGGCAATCCAGTACAATGTATATGAAAATTATGAATATAACAATTAGTGACAATTTAAAAGCATATGATTTGATGGATTTGATAAGAAAAATTATCAAAATTTTATTCGTAAATAAAGCATTATATTGTGTTATCATGTGTTTAAAGTGAGTACTAAAACACTTCATCAATGTATGAATCTAAAATACTAGTGTAATGAATCCCGGTTCAAAGTAACTAGTGCAATCATTCCAGGTACAAAATCACTAGTGTAATAATTCCTGGTTCAAAATCACTAGTATAATCATTCCTAGTTCAAAATGTTTGTGTGAACATTCCGTGGATGAAAAACACTAGTTTACTTTGTCCATTTTTTACATAAATCAGCTATGCAAGTTTTAGTTAATTCAAATACCCGCAAAAAATACCAAGCCCCATTTTTTTTTTATATATTTCCCCTTCAAAAAACTCTTTTTAGAATCTTATCAAGAATGGTGGATATTTTACACTGGACCCGGATTAAAAACCCTAGTGAATTTTTGTTGTTGGATAAAAAAAAACTAGGAATTTTCATCCTCCGGATAAAGTACACTGGCGGAATTAAACCACTGTTACAATTATTCATAAGCTTTAAATCCGCATGAAGATATTACACCTTAGCCGAACACATTTTTCTGTGGTGTCTCCAGGCCGACCAGTCTTTCTCCTTACTCTTCAATGCAACGTTCTTATCACAAAAGCATCAAATACCATTTTTAAAGTTCTTGGTTTTGACCGTTACGGGATCGAAACCACAACCTCCCGCACTTGAGCCGAACACGCTACCACGAGACAACCGAGGTAGGTCAATACATTGAGGACGAAACAAAAAACCCTTCTTTTCGATCTGTGTCCACGAAAGTGAAATAAATAGCAACCCTTCCCAGCTGCTTAGTAGGTCAATATATTGAGGACGAAACAAAAAACCCTTCTTTTCAATCTGTGTCCACCAAAGTGAAATAAATAGCAACCCTTCCCAGCGGCTTATTATGTCTATAAATACTGTGTGCTTTGTTTTACGAAGATTTACGAAGAATCATAATGATACTCAGTTATGCTAGTATTTTAATTTTTAAAGGCAAACTTACTCAATAAATTCTGGCGTCCAAGGAGATATTTTTCTAACAACGATTGAATTCATCGACATGAACTCGGATCGCTGTTGATAGAAATGTCTGTGTATAAAAACTACTGAAAATTTTGATCTCTGTTGGATATTTGTCTCATTGGAAATCATACAACATCTCCTTATTTTTATAGTATTAAGTCAATTTCTGAAACTTGAAAATGACAGTATAATAGTCTTTAAAAATTCAAAACAAGTTAACGTGGTACATGGAAAAATCGAGTCGGAAAACCTTCAACATTCAATTATTTTATACTTTATAAAAAACTAAATGTTGCCAGGCTTATAATATATAAAGTAAGGTGAGTGTTTCGACTACACAAGTGTCATCAGTGATATTGAACCACAACAATTTGGAAAACAATTAAACTACAAAGTTGAACAGAACTGGAAATAAAAAAAAAACAAATAAAAAAAGAGGACGGTTATCTTTAAATAACCTTGGGTTAGAAAAATCAAAGTGTTTTCTTATGATTTTAATAGTATATGAACAGTAAAGTTACAGAGAACGACAACATTAGTGATATTACATATCAGCTAAGGAGTGCTGACTACCGGGCTGGTCGTGTCTACCAGTAATGACGTCTACCATCAATGGCGTCTACCAAGTTATGTACGCCCGATGCGTTACGTCTATACAAGACTCATTTGTGGCTCAAAAATACTAAATTCTCATTTTTAAAGTTAATGTGTATGTCATTGATCATTTTTCAGACACAGTTTTCCCTTAGGAGATATTAAAATATAAATTAAATGTAAGAGTAGTAGTAAACAGTATCACGTGTTATCTGTGCTGCCTAATTCGGATTCGCCTAGGACAAGCACTAATACGTACATCGATTTTATGAAGTGTAAAATTAAACCGAAAACACACTTGAAATACACATTGTAAGCATGCAATATTGAATCGAATTAATGGCAAAAGTCTGCTGCTGGTGTACTAAATTTTTCACTTGCATGCTTTACCAAAATGCACATTTCCTGTAGAAATTATCAAAACATGGTAGTTTCGCAATTCTGTTTCAAAGTATAATAATGTCATTGCTTATAAAGAAGGTGATAAGTTTTGCAATGCTATTTTAGATTTCACTATGAGGCCATTAACATAATATAATCAACAAATTTTACCAAAAACGTTATTAAGCATACAATTTGATACTATATCGTTTGTTATTGTTTTACTTGTACATGATTTCACATGTATTTACTATATATATACCATTTAATGTTGAGGGGCCTCGGTGGCCGAGTGGTTTAAGTAGTTACTACTGTAATCACTAGCCAGTCAACACTGAGGTTGTGAGTTCGAATTCCGCTCGTGCGGGTGCACTCGACTCCAATCTTAATTGACTAGGATTGTCAGTTTTCCTATCGAAGGTCGGTGGTTTTCTCCGGGCACTCCGGCTTCCTCCACCAATAAAAACTGGCCGCCACGAAAAAGCCCAAAAGCGGTGCTTAAAAGTGGCGTTAAAACACCAAAAATCAAAAATCAAAATCAAACCATTTAATGTTGAGTGTCGAATAAGGCCATTATCGTTCTTACCCTTCAAAACTTAAAATACTGGATTGACACAATCTTTTGTGGGAGATCGTTCGACATGTAAATGTCTTTTTGTTTTATGATCATATCTATACTACTAAAGAAAGAGACCGATTTCATTGAGCCGCAACTCCTCTGAACCCATACAAAGTCGGAAATATTTGTGATATGACGTATAAATGTAGTGTTTTGTACTTCCTAAATTTGTCTTTGAAACAATCTTTTTTTCCACAGAAAACGCCATTTTTTGAGAAAATATCCAAATTCGGAAACCGTTATCGATCCGTGTCTTATACGCTTTCGCGCATGCTCGGTCGACTTTTTGTAGACCAAAATTTTTTAGCCGGTTTATCTCCGAGGAGACATTCGTCTGAAGTATTATATCATTATAAATAGTTATTGTATGAAATGTATTTTATAACTTCATATAGTAATTGCTTTAATTAGCGTAGCTTAATTAATCAAGCCCCAAATAAAGTTCCGTAGCTGGTTCCTTACCATCTACGTTTTGTAAGCAGGCGGAAATGGTTTTGTATTCAATTTATGACAACTCGGCCCACGGACAACTCGCACCACTCAAACACTCTCACTAATTATAACAACTTGCATCACTTTATCAAACTCGCACCACTTGAAAAAAAAAGAAATATAACAAACTGGAAGAGATGTGTTTAATCATTTAAGATTGTTTTCTTCTTCTCTTAGTAAATTCCTCCTTTCTCGGAGCACCCGTGCCACACAGAGACAGACATAAATAAATACTACAAACTCGCACCACTGAAGAAATAATTTAAATCATCAGAGAGTTATAGATTGTCTCCTCTTTGTTATTTCCTCCGTTCTTGGAGCACCCGTATCACACAGAGACAGAACTTGACTCGCACCTTTCGAAAAAAAAAAATACTACAAACTAGCACCACTGAGAAATGTTTTAATCATCAGTATTCTAGGTTGTCTTCTTCTTCTCTGAGTTATTTCCTCCGTTCTAGGAGCACCTGTGTAACACCGAGACAGAAGCTACTAATTGGACACACAAACTCCTATGGAAGAAGAACTGACAAACTAATCAACACTATCAACATAATGCATGAGTGCATAAAAACAGTTGGAGAAACACGAACCCAAGCTGTGTATCCACCCGATGCAACTGAGGTTTTCCTTTTCAATAGGTGTTAGGTACTGCGGGGTTATGCTGTTCAACTGTGGACATGGTATACCATGTTACCATATGGTATTGGGTTTTACTATAGGAATAATAGAACATAGATAAGAATAATTGACCAATCAAAGTCACACAGTTGGTCTCAGCATCATCGGCGTATTTTGGCATCCATATTGAAAAGAAATAACAGTAGGTTTATGACTTTGAAGTATTACCCTGAGAACACAAAACACTACGAATTTCTAGCAGGCAAACTTGCATACAAACTCCTTTATATATAATACAAAGGAAGGCGGCTCCAAATATCAAGAACATTTCGTTTTAATCAGACCTATCATGTCACCTCCCATAATTTTTGAGCTTTGAGAAATTTCCACACATTTTCGAACGTATTCAACTCCAGGCTTTGGGATGAACAAGTATTTTAATACTATATTATATACTTGTTTCAAATATGAAATGACTATAACTAATCGTCGGATAGTTGTCTCAAATTCACGTACTTTTAAAATATCTCGATACACGTTATACAACCCTCGAGTTCACTAAAAAGTCGACTTGGCGATCTAAAAGTCTCTAAGCAAATTAAAATTAAGTGTTGGTCGCCATTTGGTGAACATTATTTCTACAACTAGGTCTAAAAACCCTTATCCGGATTTTATCGGGTCTGATTCCGGTTACGGATTCAAAATTATCTTCAGCAATGCGCTTGAAAGTAAGGTGATTATCGACTGCAGCAGCATCAAGCATTTTATCAACCATGCCAATTTTGATACAACAACAACAAATCTTAACCTATAAAAAATACAAAATACTATAAGATGAGATCTTCTTCTGCTGCTTTCTTTTTGTATCGCTGTTTGATGGTTACTTTCTGGCGCATGCCTGATATAAGATAAAAAAAAAAAAATTGATTCGGCACCCAGCAAACACACGACATACTCCCAACGTCGGTTAATGGTCGTCTGAACGTCATGTCTTGAGTTTACGTCGTACCAACGTTGTGGGAACGTAAAAACCCAACGTTGGATGCAGACGTACAGACCAGAGGCGCTTGGGTATATGATACAGAATTTTTTTTAAATTTTTTTTGTTGTTGATTAAAATATTCAATTTTCTATATTTATACTACATATCTATCACTACTGCGCATGTCTCACCTAGTTTCGAGTGATTTTACCAACTTTGAGACAAACCCCCATTTTACTATCCACACTAAGAAACAAAAAGGCAACTAACTCGACGCCATCTTGTGTGCTATAAATAAATAATAAAATTGACCTACCTGGATTCCCCATCGATTTTTAAGGAAAACATGCCTTTCTCGCAGTCCGATCGCAGACGTCGTTTCTATTCATAAAATTGCTACTGTTCGTAACATTTTTAGTCCATCTCAAGCATATAATAAAAAGATTTTCACTATTTTCACTAAATTCAAATTTACGTGCCCGGAAGTTTACTGTTAATATTCAGGGGAAGTTACTTTTTCCCGAACTTTTGTTAAAGGGAAGTAACATTTTCCCGGACTTTTTCGGAACATCTCTGCAAGTACACATAAAACAAAGAAAGGGATACGATGATTTCCGAACTATTATAAAAAAGGCGCAACTTAACCGTTGCTGAAAAAAGAAAAGATCTGTTTTAGAAATAATGGCAAGTCAACCAAAGGAAGAAATTACGAAGGAAAACATAGTTTCATGGTAATTTATGAATATACAAATGCTCACACAAAATTGTCTTATGAAAAGAATTCAAAAAATAATCCGTGGACCATTTGATCTGATATTTTTTTATTTTATTTTTGGGGGAGGGTGGTGCACTTACAATCAAATTATAGGCTTGATCTTGTTCTTCGTCCATCATATCTATTTGTTTACATTCAGTATTAGTTCGGAAATCATCGTATCCCTTTCTTTGTTTTATGTGTACTTGCAGAGATGTTCCGAAAAAGTCCGGGAAAATATTACTTCCCTTTAACAAAAGTTCGGGAAAAAGTAACTTCCCCTGAATATTAACAGTAAACTTCCGGGCACGTAAATTTGAATTAAGTGAAAATAGTGAAAATCTTTTTATTATATGCTTGAGATGGACTAAAAATGTTACGAACAGTAGCAATTTGATGAATAGAAACGACGTCTGCGATCGGACTGCGAGAAAGGCATGTTTTCCATAAAAATCGATGGGGAATCCAGGTAGGTCAATTTTGTTATTTATTTATAGCACGCAAGATGGCGTCGAGTTAGTTGCCTTTTTGTTTCTTAGTATGGATAGTAAAATGGGGGTTTGTCTCAAAGTTGGTAAAATCACTCGAAACTAGGTGAGACATGCGCAGTAGTGATAGATATGTAGTATAAATATAGAAAATTGAATATTTTAATATACAACAAAAAATTAAAAAAAATTTCTGTATCATATACCCAAGCGCCTGTGGTACAGACGACGTTATAAAATTACGTCGAATTTAAGTTAATTTAGTACCATGTCAGGACGTAACATTTTATTACGTTGTGACAACGTGCTTATAACTGTCATAATCCGACGTAACATTTTGTTACGTCGTATCAACATTATAATTACGTAGTGAACAAACCCTGTGAATACCAGTGACACATTTAAATCTGGTTTTATGGGACGAATTTTGTAGGTATGAATCGTCCTGGATATAACATTCACCTTCACTAGAATATATTCACGATTTTTTTCGATTTTCAAAATATCCCCCTTTTTTCCCGCACAGACATAATTTGCACCAAAATGTCCAAGAAAATATTACAAATCCAATTCTAGTGTTCTAATATATATTTTGTGTATGAATATTTATTGTTTAATATATCATTAAAGTTTTGTCATCATTTATCGTTTTTTTACGATTGGTTATAAATAGTGGAACGTTCAGCAGTACTCGGGTTTTACCGCTGCATACTATGAAAAGTCTGAGCATGCGCACTTTCACCGCTTGATTTTTAAAAACAGTGTCAGTGATAACCAAACTTGCAGTGAAATTTAGCTCGATCCAGATTCCAGAACAAAGAAAAAGGTAATATAATAATTGCACATTACGCCAAAAAGGTTCTCCATAATAAAAACAAGTATGATTGAAGAAAATAAAACATCTGTTGCCGTGTTGGGCGCCTCTTTCAAGTCTGTTGTCCGTGACCGTGTTGAAATATGATACTTCTTATTTTACTGTCAATATATTACACTGATACAAGATATTTTAGCCAAAATTTTTCAAATTGCTCGATTAACTTGTGTTGTTTTTTAAGATATATGAAGTTAACTGTAGAAAGTAAAAAAGGGGGGTGCACAGCACAGCCACAGGCACTTGTTTTCTATCCATGCCAAGTGCTACTATCCCTATATATTAAGGCTGCAAGTGTCTTTTGCACTGTTATTTTTTGATAATGTTGGAAGCATAAAAGTCTTATCAATATCACAAATGCGAAGCTAGACATCTCGGCACATTAGTCATTACAAACTCGGCCCATTACAAACTCGGCACATTACAAACTTGGCATGTTACAAACTCGGCCTATTAATGATAATACTACATGTATCACTGGTGGTCGTCCTGAACATGCATGAAATATTTGCCACTGGACGTTAAGCAACCAACAATCGATCAATGTATCACTGGGTCTGACATGCATGGGAATAAACAATTGTGCCAATAACGACTGTCGTAGATAGGTGTCACAGAAAAATTAAAATACCCTTCCAAGATGTCATAATTATTTGGGACTAGATCGTCAAAGATAGGCGTCACAGAAAAAAATTAAAATAGCCTTCCAAGACGTCATAATTATTTAGACTAGGATCCAGTCGGGAAAAGTTGGGTAAAATTTTCCTGTTTTGAGGGTAAAACCAAGTTTACTGGTGTTAGAAAAACCAGTATATAGGGACGTCTTTTTTGCTGTTCAATTTATGGTATGAAATCTAAATGTTTATCAATGACGAGCTGTATTCAACTCTCACTAAATATGTGATCAGAAACAATGTCGTAATCAATCATAAAACTTATGAATTTTGGAATGCATGTAAATTTGTCACTTACCTAGTTCTCCCAAAGATTTGTTGGACTGACACTCATGTAAACAGACGGAGGAATATAGAAGATAATTGAATGTATTTATAATTTTTATTCCAGAGTCTTGTATAAAAATCCACAGATCCAATGTGTCTGAGGTTGAGGAATGCATTTCAGTAACACTTAAGCATGCACCAGCTCAAAAAGATGGACCAAGATATAAAAAGGTAAACATCAGTTGATTAGCTCTTTGTATGCCCTCCTTCACTGAGTGATATAGTTTTACTCTTGTTCTGTACGTACATACATTGAACTCAAAATTGGATTCTGTTCTCTAACTTTAGTTTGCCTGAACGACATGTTATGAAATTTATACACAATGCTTATTATCATAAAACGCAGAGTTTGAATTTGAAGAGCATCTGTTTTACTGTTCTTTAGTTATCTCCTTTAATAACATCATTTGTGGCTCATAGACACATTCTTCTTTTATTAATTTTATTTATCAAATTATAATTTGTTGATTTTATAGATTGCGTTCATTGGCATATGATATAAGGTCTTGCTGTATTGCTGTAAATTCTAAATGTATTAAGGTAAAATCCTATGAATATCTAAAATTATTTGATAAATAACAATTTTGAGAAACCAAACTTCCTTTTTTAATTTGGATTCATTATTATTTGTAGAATAACTACTGGTTGTTCCAGAAAATACTATGTCCCCCCAGGGAAGGCTCTTTTTTTAAAAATTTTATGTGGGGGTGGTTGTATTTGAAATACCAAAATGCAAAGGGAGTGTTGTTCTTATTTATTTTTATACGCCCGTTTACGGGACGTATTATGGTATACCGTTGTCCGTCTGTCCGTCCGTCATCAACATGTTGGACATTAACTCAAAACCGCTTTAACCAATTTGCATAAAACTTTGGTGCCTTGTTTAATTCTATTGACGTGAGCTCCCTTTCGTTTTTCTATAAATTTTAGATTTTATATTTCCGAGTTATGGGGTTTTATTCATTAAAAAAAGGGGGATTTTCCAGTTTTCGGAAAACAACTCAAGAATGCTTTCAACAACTTGCAAGAAATTGTAATGAATTGTTTATATCTATTGACATGAGCTCCTTTTTGATTTTTATAAATTTTAGATTTTACGTTTCTGAGTTACAGGGTTTTATTCATAAAAAAGGGGGATTTTCCAGTTTTCGGACAAAACTCAAAAATGCTTTCAGCAGTTCTTATGAAACTTTGGTGAATTGTTTATATCTATTGATGTAAGCTCCCTTTAGAATTTTATAAATTTTAAATTTTACATTTCTGAGTTATGGGGTTTTATTCATTAAAAAAGGGGGGATTTTCCAGTTTCGGACAATAACTCAAAAATGCTGTCAGCAATTCTCATGAACTTTGGTGAATTGTTTATATCTATTGATGTAAGCTCCCTTTTGATTTTCATAATTTCTAATATGACATTGATAATTAATTGAACTTTATTTGTTTATAGTCTGACAACAGATTTACTAAGTATTGCGCAACAGCACAGTGTATTGCACAACAGCAAGAAATCTTTATATTAATTGAATATAAATTCAATTCATATAACCAATTTCAAGTTCTTTGACTACATTTATTCAGAAACCTATAATATGTCAAATATTTAATTTCAATCCAAATTCAGACCTGTATCAAGCTTGAATATTGTGTCCATTTTTGCCCCAACTGTTCAGGGTTGGACCTCTGCGGGCGTATCCAGATGCGCACAGCACAGCAGTTTATTAATTCTGTCGGTGCTGGGGGTTAAAAAATGGCCGTCCCTGGGGGGCGGACATAGTATTTTCTGGAACAGCCATAATTTCATTAACACATGTTCAATTTAACAACAAATTTATTTTTTAAATAAGAAAAAGGTTAACCAAAAGTTATAAATTATTATATACTGTTGAAATTATGTTAAAATTTCTAACATACAATATCAAAATGTGTATAATTGGCAAAGATACAAACATCTCTGACTCAGTAACAGCACAACATAATTATGAATCTGCAAGATTTATTATACGACCAGCAATAGAAAAAATATTAATTATGTTTACACACAGGATATTTTTTAAGAACTGCTGTAATTCATAAGTTCGGATCAGTTTTTTTTTTGTATTTTATAATTTATGATTATTTATTTTTCAGAGACCTGAAACCAACACAAGACCAGCTGATCAGAGGGCAGAAAACCAAAATTTGGAATGACATGTATACAACCAACACAAGACTAAAATTTGGAATAAAAATAAAAAAAATTCAGAAATATATTATTATTTTTTTATTGGTTCATGAAGCCAAGAAAAAAGAAGTCTTAACTTTTGGATAGGTCTATCTCTACATTTTGTAGTTGGTCAATGGAAAAAAGCAATAGTTAGTTTGATTGTATTTCAGGTATTTTCTTCATTTGGGATATTTTTAGAAGTGTATAAGTTGTGTATAATATATATTTGTAAATTAGACAGTCAGCTTTTGGGCCTTTTTCCAAACTTTTTTCCTAGCTTGTCATTGTGTAGTGAATCCAGCTGAATGAATCTACAGTAAATATTAAGGTATATGTGGTAGTTTGTTGTATTTCTGAATAATTCATTAGAAAATGTTTTCCTTCGTTAAAGTGAAATCTACATTCTAGAATTTCCACCATCATAGTGAAATCTATATTCTAGAACACTGAAACCCTAAACATTCAGAAGTTGCAGCATGTACCAAGATGTCATGTTGAAGGCTGTACAGTTACCTATAATTGCTAACATCATCAATATTTGATTTTAGGATAGAGGGTTGTCTCATTGGCCATCATACAAAATCTCCTTTTTCGAATAGAATTATGTGTTAAATTTTTTTAAAGAAAAGTTGCTTTTGTTAAATGGAAATGTGTAAATCTTGTACTTCAGTATTGCAAAAGTTAAAAACTAAGACTTTAACCTTAAACAACTGTGTGAAACATTAATTGGACAAAACTACAGGTTTAATGTAAATTATAATGCAAAGTTTTTGGGAAAACGAAATATTTATACGTTTGACATTGAAACCTGGCAAAAAGGTAAAAAAAAAACTTTTGTGACTATATTATACACAGCTGGCAGTTTGGAAATAAGAGTACATATCGACATTGTGTCCATCTTTCCTACATAGACAAATTTACAACTTAAAAAACAGGTCAAGAGAATAAAATATAGACCTTGTTTACTTCCTCAATGGAATTTTATTGCTCCTATCAATCAAATGAGGACAAGGGACATTTACAGTTGTGTTCAGTCGGAAAGCAAGCCCTTAGAAACGACCGTTGTTGCTACTTTCTTAAGACAACAATGGGACTGATATTAAAACCCGCCATTCTGAAATTGCGTTAATTTCGCGGAAAAAATAATTTGGCGCCAATTTGGAATTTTTTCTTTTTTCTGTTTCTTACTTGCCATTAGGGTCAGAAATAGATTTTCTTTCGATTTTTCAAGCATGGTTCTTATTATCAAAGAAAATAATACTTAAACATGTTATAAATTGTCCGTCTTTTAAAAATAACGTAATGCCTTTGATCGTCGTTTAAGAATTATGCGAAATTGTCTGTTATTTTTTTCTTCTTTTTTTTCCAGATAAACAAAGAATATACAACCTATATAAAAAATTAATAAATTAAGTATCTCAAAGTTAAAACAAAAATCAAGTCTAACGTTCTATCACCCCTTATGAAACCCCGTTCGAACTAAATTCCAAACGAAAGACATTTTTTGACATTGTAGTTTTTTTTATCTTGCACATCAATGTCAACTTGCATCTTTACACAATGTACACATATTTAGTGTGTTTGTTTGAAAAAGCAATGGCGAGTTCAGCTGTGAATATTTGACTGGATTAATTATTCTATTTAAGTCAGTGAATTGTTTGACTTAACTAAAACAAGGTAAGGAAATCGTATACTGTCTTTACACAACCTTAACCAAAACTCATTCATCGTTTATAATATCATAAAAAAATTTGTGATGAAGTAATCCTGCAAAATTGCCAAAGGTAAATGAAAAAGTCTTGTCCTAAATATGAACTTAAAACAATCTCTTTCAGACTAGCATTTTAATCACTCTTATTCAAAGCAAGTTCATACTGACATGAAGTGTGACTTACTTATGACTTGTGATCTAAAACATAATATTGTTGACCAGTGGGAAAGCCAGTGACATTGAAGAGTTCTTTCCGGTGGTCACGCGGGAAAAGGGACATAATCTAAAAATTTCGAGGTGGCGCTGTAATCAGCGTGTAAACAAAAACGTAGCATATGATTCAAACAATAAATTTATCAAAACGACTTATCATCCAACAGTATTTGCGGTCTAATCTTCATCAGAATAGATTTTGTCACACGACTGCCAAAAATATATTAAAATAAGTGCTTCGTTATTGAAATATGATAAATCAAAAGACTACCTCCGTTGGTTTCCAAAAAACCGCGGGTAATACCCCCGTCTGAAAATAACTGACACAATTGCATCCTAAAGCTTTTCATTGGTTGAGATATAAATAAATGTGACCCAGAAACACATGGGCACATGACTATGTAAAGAATTCCCCGTCACTTCGAGTCTTGTTTACATAATAAAGACCTCAACCGGAGGTCAAAATTCAACGTTTTTCTAACGTTTTTGGCGTTATTTCATTGCAAAATGGAGCAAATGATGTCAATTTTACCAGTTTTTAACCACGAAATTGATTCAGACAATGAAGTGGGATGATGTTTCCTTGATTTTTAATATGTTTTACCTAAAAATATTGATAGGTTGAAGGCTTTACTCCGTCATTTGTTGATTTTTTTCATGTTGCTCAGACTATTGTTTCAATAATTTTCTGCATTTATTTGATTATTTGTTTAATTATGCTGCAGTGTATAACAGATTTATGTAGTACATTGAAACTTGTTTATTCTATGAATGAATTTGTCCATATAAATGACTTCAGTTGTCTGGAAGCCCCCCCCCCCCCCCCCCACTTTCAAGAAATTTCAGTTGGGCAAAAAATATTGTCTGAATGAAAAGCTTGCACAAATGCAAAACACTCAGCTAATGTCTGTTTTAAGCCATTTTTTTTTAAGTCTAATGATTACAGTCATTCTTTGTTTCTGTAACTATTTACCTGAAATGTGTCAACTTGTCAATTTTAAAAATATTAAAAGTATCAATCAACAAATATTGCCTGCCTGCCACTGTGACATGAAAATCTGATGAGTCAATAATTTTCACTTGATTTTTAGTCTTTGTTCTTATTGTATAAATAAAACTACTATGCAAGTGGGAAGTTAACACACAAACATTAGTATTTTGCCTGTCCTTATCAAGGAACCTGTTGTACACTAACCATTCATGTTTAAGTGTGTCTGGGCCCTGGTAACAAACACTTGTCGTTGTGTTTTCAAAGTGTGTGCATGTTCTTAAAGAATTGTTTTGAAAAAGTTTAGTGGCCATTCATCAAATTTGTTTTTCTTCCATATATATATATATATATATATATATATATATATAGTAGCTGTATTTATTTTATCATTAGTTCTGGATTTAGAATTTTGGTCACATGCTGTTTTATAAGGTCCTTTATACTTGAAAAATTGGTTTGCAAATTGTTGAAGGCTAAAACTGTTACCTATAATTATCATCCTCTATCAATTGTCAATCATGTCAATATGGGTTTCTTTTAAAACAACTTTTCCCAAGGAAAAACTAAAGTTGAAAAAAATAGTTCAACCCAGATATGCTGCTGCTGAAGAAATTAACATTAACAATGGTATTTTTCAAATAAAGCATTCATTAATTGCACTATTCCTTCATTGAAAATGAAAAAAAAAAAAATTTAAATTGAATGCATCCAAGGGCTTTCCTGGATTAACCTTCAACAGGTATGCTCAATGCCTAGTACATACAAGTCTTAATACAAGTGAGAGCTATATGACCATTAAGAGCATTAAAAAAAGCTATATTGCTTCTGAGGTCTGCTTTGAAGATGGCATATGAATGTCTCACTCTGATTTTGGTAATCCTGTTTTGTTGCGTTGATATTAATTTTTCGTCCCACAACTTTTACTTCACACTAATCTTTTTCGAGGTCTATCATGATGGAAATTTTAGGTACTGTAAATTCATAAAGGATAGCAAAGTTTTTATTACTGCAATAATGTGAGTGGGTGAGTATCTAAATAATAAATTGCATTCTGATACCTTTTAATCTGATTAAAATGCAAATCCTGTGTCCAAGCTTATTACAAGAACACAAAGCTTGGACACAGGATCTATACTTAAATCAGATACATATATACCATTCCTATATCTGTGTGCTGATTTTTCTGAAAAAGCAATACTTTTTACACATTTTATTCCATTCTTCAAATTTGCAATAATAAAAGCACACAATAATTTGCAAAATCATGTGATTACATATAGGAAAAGGGCACCTAGGCATCTCATTCTAAATACTACACATGGAGCAGGATCTGCCTACTCTTCCAGAGCACCTGAGATCATCTGTATTTTGTGGGTTCAAGTTGCTCAGTTTTCATTTTTCTAATTTGTATATTAGTTTAAACTTTTCATCAAATAGTCTGAAAACAGAGATATGTATCTGCTGAAAATGATTTATTTAGGTGCAGGGGTCACCACACTTCAAAATCTCCCTGGAAGCATATAACAGTGAAAAGTCATGTCATGAGAGGCTACTAGAGAGACATCAAGGATACCTCTGGGAGAAGTGAACGATTCTAAAACCACTCCGTTTAAGTCCTTCACACCTAATAAATCATTAAAGTAGACCTTTTACATCTTTGATATTTTTTTATGTCTCAAATACTACAGTAGATACATGTATATGGCTAATGTGCTTGCTTTGCATCTATGAATGTTTTATTGTATTGCAGCAGCAGCATTGTCTCATGTACATCTACCCCATGTCATCAATATAATTTGATTATGGTGTTTCACTTTGTATATATAAAAATATAAAAATGTTAAGAAAAAAAAGTTTATTAAAAGATAAATAAATACAAATGCATAAATTAATGTTAAAATGAAACATATGTAAATAATATCTTAAATAATTATAAGTAAATAAGCTTCAATCAAATAAACAAAATTTAATACAACTTAAATACTTTGAAAGTAAAAAAAAAACAAACACATAACAATAAAGTTTAAAATTTAAGAAGCATAATTATTGTTAAAAAGTCCAAGTTAAAGTAAAAACAAGTCAAATAGTCCTCTGTTCCATAAATCCTCAAAATGGAAATGTTTCCTGCT